ATGCATTAAATGCCAATGGATTTAAACCATAATGCAACTACCTGAATTTATCCCAGGGCCCACAGTAAAGTTATAAAGCAAAAGGTGAATTTGCAAGAGTTCTTCTCATTGCAAATGTCCTACTGATCTTGCTCACCTAAGCTATGACCAAAAGTTTAATGCTGCTGTAAAAAAAAAAAGTCTACCACAAAGTGTAAAATTCTAGTTAATACAGAGAAGCCTGTACAACTTGAAAAACCACTGCATAGTTTAAAGGCCTCTCTCTCCCCCCCCCTCAGAAAACCTCAGTGAAGTAAGGGCCAACAATTCAGTTGCCTCATTCACAGCTAATCAAACCAGATTGGGGTACCCTTTGTAACCTACAACTATGGTAAAGAAGCATCTATATAAACACCATTAAGTCAAGTCACAGGATGCATGCTGCCCTCCCTTTAGGCAAAAATACACGTGCAAGAGGACAGTAGATCTTCTTACTATAAAACTATGTTGGACAAAATGTTCAGGGTAGGACTTCAAAGAATAACTGCTTTTTTCTCTGCTTTAACAAAGCTCCTCAAGCTTCCAAACAACAAAATAACAACTCCGTATCACACATCAGGTGAACAACCCTGCACAGGAAAGGCAACCAGCTCATGCGTAGGGCAGAAAGATTGTCCTAGGCCATCCCTTACATGGAACCTGGCACGGCCAGCTGATTTGAGTAGTCTTCAAACATAACAGTACTGTGTGATTTAAGGATGCTCCACCTGCACTTCCTATCTCATACCTAAGCAGCTATGTCCAAATCAAGCATCAAGTCAGTCATAACAGCAGGATTTAGACATTCTGATTTTGCTTATTGAGAAAACCAAAAGTAATATTCAAATTGAGTGAAATCCTGCCTGAAAAATAAGAGACAAACCTGTTTTCCAGTTCTTACACTTTGGTGTGCTCTGTAATACAATAGCACGAAACAGATTAAAGAACAAGCAATATTCCCCATGTTCCTGTAACACGTGAGCACAGTCACTATCCAATCCTAAAAAAAACATCTAACATTACTTCACGATTCAATCTTTAATTTACCATGTAGTTTTCTTTCCATTCATGTTTTAACCTCTTATCCCAAAGAACTATGTATAATCCTCTTTAAAAGTGCAGTGTTCACTAACTCCTGTGTAAAATATAGTTAACCCTGACCTTGCTGTACTAGCATCTAGGATCAGGAGTAGATTGTTTTATTTCTACAGAACCACTTGACTACACCATATACAGTTTAGATAACAAAGAAAATCAGAAAGCTGTATGCAGATGCTTGCCTGTTGGTTTATTAACTTCATGCCCTATGAGAATGCCACAACAGTTAATGCAAAAGGTGTAACTTGAGATGTCTTCAGTGCACAGAGTTGCCCAAACAATGAAGTGGGAGTAATACTGATCTCCAGTGATACACAAGGATGTATTAAGAGATACAGAATGGCAATAAAATGAAGATTAGCACGCGAAATAGTATCTAGTAGTCTAACCAAAAGAAACAGAAGCGTTCTCAGGACATCCTATTTTAGAATAAAAAGGAAAAAAGTCATAGACTGTAGGTGTTCACTGATAGTGGAGTACTCCTAAAAAACAGAACAGTTCATTTCAAAACCAGTCATGTTATTGCTAAAAAAGCTGCTAGTGGCACTTTAGTTATCATTTCTTGCTCATGAACATAACACATCAGAGTTTCCTAAAGCCACAAGAATGGCAACCCCACAAAACTAATAGCCAGGACTCCAGAAAGCAAAGCTGCATTTTAAATCCATGTAACACATTTGGCATATGCACCAGTTTCCACTCCAGGCTTCCACACAGCAACCCTCATCAGGTCATAGGGTCTATCAGGTTTGCCTTCATTGATAACAGAACTTAAATGCCAAGCATTATCGAGGTATTATATCCTCCACTATCTCCAGGTCACAGAGAGATAAGATGGCCCCAATCCAATGACTCTCAGCAGCAGCCTTATTTTATCCCCTGTATTGTAACAGCTCCCAGGTTGCTCCAGCTATAGTGATCTAGTTTATCATCTCAAGCCTGCAGTAGCCTTTTTGCAGTATACAAAACTTCAATAACCTGTGGTTGTTTCATCTCCAAACGCATGCATCAGTGAATACAGGTTAAATGGAATAAAACGCAAGGCCTTCTATACCTATAGAACTGCTAGCCCATGAATGGAAATCCTCACTTTTCAAGTATCTGTCAGTCAAATTTTCCTCTGAAGAAATCCTATTATGAGTCTCAATTGCTCTGGCTGAACAGGTTGAGTATACCAAGTTTCAGCTTGAAGCAGAACTTCAGCCCAGATCAGAAAGAGACCCCACACGTTGTCACCAGTAATTCACATCAGCAATCTGCTCAAGAAGTGGACACTTAGTGGGAAGTGCAAATAGAGTAAAACTCTAAACTCAAACTTTGTCTGCTCTATTTCTGGCTCAGCCACTGACCTATTTTGCATGACGGGCACAAATGTGTTCACTTTTTTCTGTGCTAGCTCAGTCTAGAAAGCTAAACATAAACATCAGACAACCATTAAGAGGACAACTAAATCTAGCATTCAGGAAACACCCCGACGCTGTCCCTGTCCCGTTAAATGTTCAGCTTCACCTCACAGCCTGCAAGGGTTACCAGCAACAGTCCATAGTAGAGTCTCAGATATCAGACTTACCTGAAGCCTTTGAGACACAAAACATTTAAGTACAATGACCAAGAGAAGCTGATTGCAGGTATGCAAAAAGCTTATAACCCTTTGTTATTTACAGACCATATTTAAGCTCTTGAATAGAAGTTTCAGCTTCTACTTCCCACAAATTGGGAGGCCACCGCTAACCAAACCCCCTCCTGTTACAACAGAAGAAAGTTGCCTTACATCAAACAAGTGAATCTCGGTGGTTTTCCCCCTCAATAGGCAGTCCCCCAGAAGTCTTGCAGTGGAGATACAAAGCTTCACATACCCTGACTACTGTAAAGCATACACAAGTTTGGCTTTGTTCTCAGCAGCTCCCAACTTCTACAGAACCCAGCTGAAAGCCGAAAGCCTCCTGACTTGACACCACAGACTGCTAAAGCTTTCCTTGTGCTCCCGCTGAGCTTTTTAGAATGCTGACCCAAGCAAACCTTGCTGCCATGCTTTGTGGTTCGGCACGGACTTGGACAAGAGTAGATATCGAGCATGCAGCACCTGCTGAAGAACCTGCTCTCTCCTGAAGGTGCAGACCAACTCCAGCTATCCTCTGAAGGAGGAAAAGCCCTTCAGAGATGTCAGTTATGCATGTAAACTCAGACTAGACAACTATAAACCAATTGAGGAGTCCCTCCTT